AGATGCAAAATTATGATGTGAAAAGTGATCGGATTTTTTTTCTGAATTGTGACTATCTAGGTCTCGCTGTACTCCCTCACCTTCTGTGGATATGATTTACTATATTTCCACTTACCCTGTGCGTACATTCTCCAGTGTGATTACCTGTACGGTTATAACAATCTGACTGGTTAAAAGGTTCTGGGAGTACGTGCTGTGCACTTCTGTTCAGTGTATTTCCTGCAGCCCCCTCTTCCACAGCTGTAGTATCAATAATGCAGTATTACACTGAGTTCCAGTTTAATGAATTAAAAAGCTGGATAGAATGAAGAAACATGGGGAAAATATCTTGAAGCTGAATAAGATGAACTCACATCACACTTGGTAATTCTGAGTTCAGGGGCTCCCTGTGAAACAGATTTCTGAATCAGCTTGTTGCACTCTTGAAAATTCTGTGTGCCCTTCAGGTGAAATTTTGAATCTGGGAGAAAAGCTGTGGTGGGTTTCTGAGTAAAGATAAAATGACAGGAGTAAGATTTTATTATTTTTTTAATCTGAAATTCACTGGTAGTCAACTGTATTGCAGGCCTGTGGTTTAAAAACACAGTTTTTGAGTTCTGAGTCTAGTTTTGGGACTTTCCATTGCTTTTATGTCTGGCCCCAGGAAACTAGGCCACTCTCTTCCTGTTCTCAAACAAAATGTGTTGTAGCTATCGTAATCCAGCTGACGATTTAGCTATGTATTGCTTGACTTCTCCACACTTTTCACTGTGGAATATCAAATCAGTTGTGAGACTGCTAGACAAAATATCCAAGTAAAATGTTTTTTCTGCTTTGTGATTTTTTTCCCATCCTTATTGATATTATGTTGGAATTTGTGGGAGGTGGGTTACACTGATAGACAATCATGTAGGATGATACCTGCCTCCCTTTCTTTAACGGCTTGCCGATAAACCTAATCCACTGTCCCATTTTTGTGTCTAATTGAACTATGCATGACAGTGAGACTGATATTGAGGATTCCATTTATTCCCATACAGTAGCTGTTTCTACTTTATTTGAAGTAATTGCTTTATTTATTAAATGATTTTCTCTCAGACTGTGCACCTGCTTGTCAATACTCAGTTTGTTCACTGCCTGGCCCTTTAATGGTAATCTCTGATTAGTCAGTGTGTTCCCAGCCTTTGGAGTTTGTTATGATCTTTTAGAGGGGAAAAAAGATGGAGGAGGATTGCAGTTATCTGTAAATAATTAGGCAGGTGGGCTTTTTATGCAAGCTGTGCAAAAAAGAGGTCAGTGATCTAATCAAATGCCAAATATGAGCTAACGTGTGCCATGATCATTGAACCCTGTAAGGCTAAATATAAATAAGTATGCATTTTGCTGTTACTGTGACTAGCATAGCCATAGACTGATTTCATTTTGTTCTGCATGGCTATTTTATCATTAGTTTCATTTGAAAGAGAGAATAGTAAACTAATTTTTATGGTTACACAGTGACATTAAATGGTGAGATTTATGAAAAACTAACAGAAGTAGTGATAAGTATATTAATTTTTATTTTTTCTTTTGTAAGCAGGAAAAACAAAATAATTGCTCAGAAAGATCTGTTATAACAAAAGAATATTGTCTAAATCTGGCTGCTGTTGTGCTTGCTCATACAGTGTCTAAAGCAAGCTAGGGCTTTTATTCATTTCATTTTGGAAACAAAGTACTCCTAGAAGACAGTTAGAGTGATTTTCTTTTTCCTAACCTAATTTTCAACAAATTTTAGGGATCTATATTTCCTGTTCTTAAAATGAAATATGAAATATTTTTCAGGAGATGCAAATTTAAGAGACTATAACGTATGAATCCATAAAATCTGAACATTTAGGAGCCATTCAAAACTGGATTTTCAGAAAGAATCCAACTTTCCTGATTATTCTTCTAGCATAGTTTCCTTTTCAGGTTATTGCTCTCAAACTTCTTTACTGTCACAGCTGCATGCTGCCAAACTCTTAGTTGTCTGATCATCCTGTATATTTGCCTGTGCTTGGTGACTGATAAATACCTATGCTACCTGTCCTTTTCTGGAGGGAAACTAGTGTTCAGAAAGGAGGCTAATATACATTTGAGTTCCTTTTTCATATGCCTTGCACTTCTACAATATGACTACACGTATGTGCTTGGACATTATGCTAAAGTTCACTTGAGTGGAAGATAGCAGATACAATGGGTTGAAAATGTGATCCTATGTAAGATGCATTGTGTGAAGAATATATGCAGCCTCAGGATGTATTATGGACCCTCAAAGTCGGAGAGGTCTTCGGGAGGCATAGGACAAATAGATCTGCTGAAGAAGTAGGTAGTAATGTCCACCAAGACAGATACTGCAAGTGAATAAAGTGTTCTTGGGGGGGGAACCAGGGAGCACTGACTGAGTCCTGCTGAAGTTGGGGGTGAGCTGCTGCTACCACCCATTGCCAGACTGCAAGTTCACATATATCAGGTGAGATGAGTAGGAGGATTTATGCCTTTGGTTGGCTGATTCCTGAGGGAGAGGAAGATGGCTGAGTGCTGAAGTGTAAGCTTTCAAATGGAGGACCGCCCTCTGCAGGTATGTGACAATAGGCTAGCAACTGGATCTGTTGTTATACATGCAGCAAGATACTTCGAAAAATGTAGTTACTAATTTTATGATGTTAAACTATTATGTATTAGTTTATTTTTAACAGTTGTAAATGTATCTTGAAGAATTTTAACACAATTTCTTTTTTCTTTTTCTTTTTTTTTTCATCTTTTCAAAAATGTTCCTTAACTCCTGTAAAGCATGTTATGATAAAAACTTGCATGTTTTATGCTGAAAGGTAAGAGAACAGAAGTGTCTGGGTCTGCTGAGACTATTCCTTTGCTTTGTGTTCAAATAATCCATGAGCTCCTCTTCCTTTTTTATCTTAATTTATTAGGGTGGTTGGTATTCTATGGCAGCCTGATTCTTCTTGCTCTGGGTGAATTTGACTGTAACGACACTTTGATAAATTTCTCCTCAGACAATGCACTGCTACTGTGAAGTGGTTGCCTAGAGTAGCACCTTCAAACTCAGTCAGTCTGCGCTTTTTATACATTTGGTCGTGTCTGCTGATTTCACTCACTGACTTCTTTTTTTTCCTCCTATTTGTACTGTAAAGGCAACACATAAATCTTTGTTCAATCTGTTCCATTTAAGCCTATTAAAATACTTCTCTGTTGCACTGCCTCGGGCTCTCCTTTACACTACAGCAAGGCAAGTTTTCTTTCCAGTTATAACCATTATAGAAGAGCACAGAAAACTGAATTTTAAAATTAAATAGGCCCTTGGTTTTCAGGGTGTCTTGAATGTCATTTACAGAAGTAAAATAATGAAGGACTTGTTTTGACCTGCAGAATCTTCCCCTGATTAACAGTGCCTCTCAAGGAATAAGCAGAGTTTTACAGTGAAGTCATCTCTAAAATGCATTTTTTATTTGTCCCTTTATTCCTTCTGTCCCTTCACTGTTTGTTTGCCTCATACACTAGTTATTCATAACCTTTGAGAGTCACCGAGTTATCACAGTCCAGGGGGTAATTCGTATCCCATACACCACAGAGCAAGGGCAAGCCTCCCTCTTGCATATCTATTTCTTGATCCTTCCAGTTCTTCTCCCACCTGGAGAGGCTGGAGGATTGAGAGATTTAGGTTGCCCTAGAATATCTGCCTTTCGCACTTCTCAAGGATGAAGTGCCAAATTTCACAAACTTTCCTGCAAGATGGGTGGTATCAGTTGCAGAAACAAGTGAGGAGCCTGTAACTCACACAGTTGGCTGCTGTGAAATTAAAATGAACAAAACTGAACAATCCAAGCAGGAAAGCCTTCCACTTTTATTTTATTTGAAAACAAAATTTACTGTCTGCACTGCACATTTTTTTTACTAAGTAAACTAGTAGTGACCCCATTGGCTCAAGCAGGAGTTTGAACCAGTCTCCTTCTCTGTTCTGTCTGTCCACTTGTGTAACTGAGAAGTGAACAACCAACACCCAATGTCTAAGTCTGGTCTCCAGCTCTTTTTTCTCTGTAGAAGAGCTGCTGAGTTGTTCACTGGAGCCCTCATAGGGCAGCCATGAAGGAAAGACCACATCTGCCATCAACCAGAGAGACTTGCCCTTAAGATCAGAGTCCTGATCTGGAGCTGTGACAAATACAACAGAGAAGAGGCTGCTACTTTGCTCCTTTGGAGTGCAGGAACTGGATTGTTTGAAAAACAGTATTTCATTGCATCTGTAATAGTTATCTCCCTCAAGTTTTACTGTGTCAAGTATTGTCTTGTTAAAAGGCTGTGGGCTTTCCATTATTTATTTATTTATTTATTTGCCTTTCTTCTCTGGCCGTAAGTCTACTGAGAAAATGGAAAAAAAAAAAGCTTTCTTCAGGCTTTAATAAGTAAAGTGTAATTACTTTAGAAATTTCCTTCCTGATTATGATTATATATACTTTTGTGTGTGTGTAGGTATGTAGGTAAATAAATGAGGCAGATGGTAACAGATAGTTCTGCGAACTGTGATGTTTACTTCCTGCATATTCATGAATTTTTCAAAATCTGAAATTTCTTTAAGGATCTTAAATTCCATGTTGTACAGTTTGGGGGGGAGGGGGGGGAATATAGTTTATTTTGTTTGCTTCTTAGAGTTGTAGAATCACTGTCTTAACAAACATAGCCTAGCCCTGAAGTATTAAGGGTGCCCTTACATTTATGTCTAGGGCTTCCAGAGCTGGTTGCACTGTGCAGGAACCAAGTTACAGCAAGCTCCGATCAAGTCTCCTTTAACTAATCAGTGTGCATCTAGGGACAGAAAGTTGTGTGTGTCTTTCATCAGCCTCTAATTTCTTGATTTGGTGTTACGGGCTGCTGTAATACAAAAGAGAATAGAAGAAGAGACCTCGAATTTATGTATGAATTAAAAATTGTTGGCTCGCAGACTTTGGTAAATACATACTTTCATGTGGTTGTTTCTCTGTTTTCAGGAATACACTATAGACATAATTTTTGCCCAGACTTGGTATGACAGTCGTTTAAAATTTAACAGCTCAATGAAGGTGCTTATGCTTAATAGCAATATGGTTGGAAAAATTTGGATTCCAGACACTTTCTTCCGGAACTCAAGGAAATCTGATGCTCACTGGATTACAACTCCAAATCGTTTGCTTCGAATCTGGAGTGATGGAAGAGTATTATACACTCTAAGGTGGGTTTTTACTAACTGGGGAGAAAAAAAATAAAACTCTTATGACCAAGAATATGGAAATAATGAATATGGATCAAATCCTTGGTATCTCTTTTGTTATGGACTGCAGGAATTTGCAAGGAGTTTACAAAAGGAGAAAATGAAAATATTTGATCATGAAAAACCTGAAATTTGTAGAATTGAAACATATTGTGTAGAAAATTGGGTAAAGAGAATTGAAGAGGTTAGCAAATTTTGATCTCATTTAGGCAAGATTAAAAAAAGATATTACATAGCATGTGGCACTGTGGTGGTCTGTCACTAACATATTGCAGATCTAGCAATAAATTGTTTTGCAGACTTTCTATTCTAAATAGTTCAGTATCTAATTTTCACCAAATTATATTCTATAAGCAAAATATGAAATGCTTCAGATAATAAAACTCATAAGACATTTGATTAAAGCTAAAGCCCCAGTCCTGCATATGCTTTTTAATATGTTTTCCCTTGCAAGCTATTAAAATCAACAAATCTGTTCATCTAAATCAGGCATAAGCAAACATGTTGATAATAATTCTTTCTAGTAAATGGGAGATCTTGGGCTGGCTTTAAGTTTTGTGTCACTTTTCAAACAGTTCTTGAAAGACTGCAGTCTACAGAAAGCATTTTAGGGTCATCTCTCAATTCTGAGTATGCCTAAAAAATGTTGCTATAGATTAGGAGCTGATCAGGAAGCAGTCCATGCAGAGGGTGCTCTAAATCTGATTCTGCTCTTGAGAGTTTGCTTATTTGAAACAAAAAGTAGCACCCTTTAATTACTTTTCAGTCATTTATGCTGTTTTCATAAGCAAGCTAGTTGTGTTGTATGAACAATTTATAGAAGTCTTCTCTATCAGAAGCAGGAAGAATAAGAATGTTTTAAAAGGATTCTCCTCACTGAATTTTTTCTTAGTGTGCTTCATTTCAGAGTATACAAATATACCTGAAGAGCACTTTTTAAACAGTTTATTATACTGGTGTTTATAAAAATCTCTAGAGAGCCTCTTTGTTAACATGCTCATGTGTTTTTTTCCTTTTGTAGCTGACATACTTGGACTTTACTTTTCCATTGCCCATTCAGTTTCAGTGTACAATTTCTTTTAAATGGGGTCTAAGTAACACAAAGAAAAAAACGCAACCAAAAAACAACCAAACCAAAAACCCCTAGTGAGCTTTCCCAGAGCAATAGGTTAGAATTAATGTTCTAGAGTGTGAGCTATGAAGTGCAGTGAGCTAGTAATAAGCTAGCAGAGCAGGTATTCATCCAGTACTGCAGCATGCAAACATCTGTATAGGTGAGGATATGGCCTGAATTTGGCCTCGGGTAGAATAACATTGAGAGTTTCATATGTTGGTTATTGAAGGAACAATAATAGGATCTGACAGTGTTCCAGGTTCATGGGCTCCCCTGTACCATGGCCTATCCATTGCATCCATTAATCCAGTGATTCCAAATCTAGTTGTGTTGCTTTTAATAAAAGTCTGGTTTTGTTTTCTTTAAGCATTTGACTATCCAAAGATTGAAAATGGAAAACAAAGGTAATAAATGTAGCAAAAAAACACTGCAGTTTGAAAAGTATCTTCAGAGGAATGCAACTCTTTTACCTAGAAATGGAGGGATGTTTGCCAACCTCCCGTCCCCCTTATAAACCTCTCTCTTGGTCAAGACAAATTTCTAGGAAGGTCCAGTGACACTTTGTGTAGAGTAACTACTTTGTTCACAGACTTCTAGAGCTTTCTGGCACCGTGTGGCACAATCTTCCTCTCCCCATCCCTTTTTGTTCAGTATGTAAGTATTGCATACAGTCAAGTATGTAAGTATTATATTAATTTTCAAAGTTGATTTTGGAAGACATTCTGACTTTCTTCACAGCGTTACCAACAGGAGGTATTTTAAATACAAAGAAAGCAGTTTGGAGTCTAGCCCCTTACTCTAGCTTCCTAGTGAAAGTTAGCAGAACTGGGTTTTGCATTGGTTGCTTGGAAGCTCTTCAGAAATCTGTGATGGTATTTTCAAAAGTAGCAAGTGATTCAGTTGATACCATTACAGTCCTAAATTACTTCTAAAACATATATTAGTTGCATGAATGCAACTAACTGCTTGATGCCTTAGACATTAAACGAGTGGAAGTACGGAAGTCTGCTCTTTCATATCCAAGCTACTGCCTTTGCCACAAATACAGAACAAGGCCAAGAATGTCCTCACTTTCTATCTACCTGATACAATGTTGCCAAATGCAGTTTGACTTGAAAAATGCATTCTTCAGAAAATTCATTTTTTTTCTGTCATAAACTTCCCTTCCTTGCCCTGCCTTCAGTCCCTCCCTATTTTATCTCCTATTTCTGGTAGGCAGCTGAAGGATTCCCCCAAATCAACTGAATTTTTTTTTAAAATGGCTTGAAATGGCAATTGAAACAATGCTTGTCCTCAGGTTGTATATCATGATAGTTTTTGTTCTTTGGCAGTGATGCTGGATGCTTTTGCAGAAACACAGTTGGCTATGTGTAACATTCATTAATTGACAAAACTGATTTCTGTGCATGTGCTTTACTATCTAGTCTGGAGTGTCTGGATGCTTGAATGTAATCTTTTTTTCTTTTTTTTTTTTTTTTTTCCCTTTTTAATTAGGCTGACAATTAATGCTGAATGTTATCTTCAGCTTCATAACTTTCCTATGGATGAACACTCCTGTCCACTGGAGTTTTCAAGCTGTAGGTGGTAAAATACATTTTTGTTGGGTTTGGGTTGGTTGTTTTTTTTCTCCTTTAAATTCAGGCATTAAATTTCCTTAAATCCCAGCAAGAGAGCAAGGGTTAACTTTTTAAAGCCTTGTAGTGAAGAAAAGAACTGACCTATTTTATTTCTTTTTCATTGGATTTATTGCATTATTTAGTGCATTATTAAATGCAGTAATGAATGAGTTGAATTTCATGCATTTCATTTAGGTGCAACTTTAAAAATAATCTTATTGCTTAAGAGTCTGATGCAGTGCCCATTCCAGTTAATGGAAATCTATTGCCCTGGAAGATCTTTATTTTTTATGCCTGCCAGACTTGCCAGCTTTGAATTAGTTCCATGTGGTATACTTAAAAGGAAAAATAAGATCTGTCTTCTTCAACTTTTTCCTGTAAATGCTTAATCAGTAAAGAAGTCCTTTCAGTGGGACTTACTTATGTGAGCAAGAAACACAACTTTCAGGATTAATTTCTTTAGTATACACTATATTAAAAAAAAAATTAAATCTAAGGGGATTGTGTTATTACTGGCAAAAGAAACCCAAACCGCCTGAAGACAGCTAAACGACTTATTCCTAAATGTGAAACCTAATAGGCAATGAAATCAAACTTCAGTGATTCTTTTTAAATTAATGTTTTCATTTAATACTTTCTTCTTGAGTGCTTCCGGCTAAATGAGCTTTGGTAGCTCCATTGATTAAGTAGTTGTGCAACACAAGCTAGTCTCCCTTAATTTCATTTCTGCCTTTCTACAAGGAAATGTGGGGTAACACGCGAGGCATGTGAAAATCAAGAAGGTTACACTTCCTTAAAGCTGAAGTACTGGATAGTGAATCAGGCCACAGACATCCATTGTGAGAGTAATAGACAAAGAATAAACATTAGTAGGACTTTTATAAACATATGTACTCAAGCTCTTTGTGGTCTTTTAATGATAATGTATATTACATTTGTGTATTAATTCATAGTGATGAATCTGAGCCAGTTTTTCTATCTGAGTTCTAGAATATCATCTAGATACTTACTAAATGTTTGTATTTACATAGTTTTTGATTGATCATATATTTCTAGCTAGGCTTAGTACTGAGGCTAGATGTTTTGTGGTTAAATTTTACATGTATCAGGTGGACTGTATATTGGCTTTCTGTCTGATCCACTTTATGTATAGCTCTGTTTTTTAAACAGTTTAAAAAGTTTATAAACAGCTTCAGAGGTTACAAAATATGTGTTGATATACACTGTAGCTGAATGCTTGATTTGCTCTGTTTTATCCTAGATGGATATCCCAGAAATGAAATTGAATACAAATGGAAGAAAACCTCCGTTGAAGTGGCGGATCCAAAATACTGGAGATTGTATCAGTTTGCATTTGTAGGGTTACGAAATACAACTGAAATTTCTCATACTTTGTCTGGTAAGGCAAAATATTAAATGTTATTTCACGTAATATGTGTGTAAAACAAGACTAACAGATGAAGATAGAACTGAAAACCATTCTCAGTTTCATGTATTCTTTTTTCTAATTTATAGGTGATTATATTATTATGACAATCTTCTTTGATCTCAGCAGACGTATGGGGTATTTTACTATTCAGACGTACATTCCTTGTATACTCACAGTTGTTCTTTCATGGGTGTCATTTTGGATCAATAAGGATGCAGTTCCTGCAAGAACTTCTCTCGGTAAGAGCATACTTTTTCAACCTCGAAGGGTCTGGCACTCCCCAGGAATACAAACCTGCAGCAGGGGATAAATTGAACACAGTTTATTCCCCTTCACATTGTGACCATTGGCCACCCTTTCTCTTGAATTGCAGGATTAAGAGTAGAAGGATCCTGCTGTGGTTGCACCATAGGGCTTAAGGAGGGAGTGTTGAGAATAGAAATCTGGAAATCCTGAACCAAGCCTTGTGGATGCGGTGGTGCTCATACAAATACATTTTCCTCTCCTTTGTGTTCTTTTTATCATCTCTAGGGACTTGCAATATGGCAATCATTAGTCTGACAAGTATGATTGAACTTCACTTAGCATCATGGAACAAAGGATGTCATTGCTACACAAGCATTAACCATGAAGGTTTTGTTCTTGGTTTTGGTTTTCTTTTTTTTTACTTTTTTTTTCTTTTTGGTTGGGTTTGTTTGTTTGTTTGTTTGTTTGTCAGGTTTTTTTTTGGTGGTGTTCCTGTTGTTTTTTTTTTAATAACAGAAATGTTTCAGTTGTTCTTCTAAGCCCAGGGTAGAACTGAAAATTTGCAACCAAAGATGCACTTCAAGCAGTTAAGCATCAAAAAAACTTGAATCACTGCCCTGCTTTTACTACAGATAGCAGTGAAGTGTGTTGCAAGTTCTGATACAGAGATAATTCTGTGTTAGTGTCATCTGGCATGTTTAACATGGTACCAGTCTCCTATGTTTGACTTGAGGATACATGTGCTGCCTTGAAGAAGAGTCGTACTCCCCACATAAAGAATGCTAGACAGTGTGTGGAGTGCAAGGACGCACAATTACAACTTTGAGCTTAGAAGTGATAGGTGTTTTTAGTAAAACTGGTGATGGTGGTATGACCTGTTCTGGGAGAAAGATCAAGAGCTGAGAGTGTGTCTTAGAAAGTGAGAAATGTGTGTTACTTTTTCTCATCAGCTTATAGGATTGTGAAAACACCATTCCCACTTATTAGGAACATTCCCTATCAGAAGAGTGTGTCTAGGTTTTAACTCCCTGACTTTCCCACTGAAACTGGACCACTTGCAGTCAAGCCTGCAAGATTAACTAGTCAAGCAAGAAAGTAAGCAAAATTTTTCAGTAGCCTAATGAAAAGGTAAGGGGAAAAAAATCAGAGTCTTGGTTCTTTATGCTATTTAAAAGTACTGCAAAGTTTAGCGAAAAGAGCCTAAAATCTTGCGTAAGTAAGTCGAAACAATAAAAAAAATAGTTTCAAATCTTAGTTTTTCAATTTATTATAAGATTTCTTTGACTAATCACTGGACATCACTGTGTGTACCATCTGGAAAGACACTAGCTATAACAGGAAAAATTGTATTGGTATTCTGTGAGTTCTGTATCCAGTTTACTCTTTCTACAGAGGTTTGTGTTTTGGTTGTTTTGTTTTTTTTTTTCAGTGCCACAGACTTTGCAAATTTGCCTTTAATCTCATGGTTAAGAGAGTTTTCATGCTCCCCCTTCAGCAGTAGTAACCTTTATCTATTTGAAATGTACTACAAATGTTTGCAATATTGTATTTGCAGCTCCCTGCAGTTAACTCTGAGCTCCTATTGTATGAACATGCAGAAGCCATTGTTTGACAGATTACAGGATGACTTTTCTCACATGCAGATGTTCTGGTGGAGAAGAGAATACCAGACAAAGCAATTTTATGGGAAATAATGACAAATTAAGACAAGAAAGCCAAAACTAAGCATGGTCTGTTATGACAAACAGTTGTGATGCCGAGGTCCTTGTGACAGCCCTCTGTGTGCCTTTTGAATAGCAGAGAGGACTGGGAAAATCCAGGTGTCCTTTTGTCTTCTCTGAACAGAGGTCAGTCAGGGGAATGCTGTGTGTGACTTCTTGCCTGGAGGCTGTGCTGGGGTCTGGTATGCTGAAAAGGCTTGGGCCTTTTTCTTTCATTTATGTTGAAAGATACTGGCAGTTTGTGGTTTCCCAAAGCAAAAGGTTTGAGACAGTTAAAGGTATTTAAATGTTTAACTAAGTGGAGAAATGCCTAATTGATTTTCAAAAGCATCTAGTGGGAGCCAAGCACTTTTAGAAAACTCTGGGGTTATCTGTTTGCCCTTTTAGGCACATGATTTCATTGGGAAATCTGTTGTAAAATCCCCACTGCTTTCTTGCTGTGGTATCAGTCCATCGCGACCCCGATTCCATGCTTTGATTGAAATGCCACAGACAGCCTTAGACTGGTGTAACCCATCTTTTGCAATAAGTCTGTGCATGTAAATAATGAATTATTTCTGTGTTCAAATATTGCTTTCTGAAGGAAAGGTCACATCTTAATTTTTGGGACTACTGTGAAAAAGGCTTTGCTTCTCTCTGAAGCATCAAATATAAGAAAAAGTGTTAACACCTTCTAAATGTTAAACCAGTGAAGAAGAGTGGTATAGTTGAGATTCTGAGCATATCTCTATTAAGGCCAGCTTCTTCTTTTAATTAACTTGTATGTAAGTGAGTCAAGCGAAATGTTTTCTATTACTTAAGACACAGTATTGAAAAAATACCTAGTAACATTAAGAATGAGACCAGAAAGGCCAGGAAGGTCATCTAGTTTGATCTGCAACATGTCAGAAGCAAACAGTTGAAAGTGTTATTCCTTTTACTTGTATTTTCTGGAAGTTTGAAATCATTGATAAATAATACATCTTTTTCTGAATGTGTCCTTTTGTACATTTTAATCTTTCAAGAACCAAAAGACTTTTTTTTATTAATAAAATTTGTGTGCTTATTTGTACCTGTTTGTCTATTGTATTTGTTTTATGTGCGCATTCTTTAACAGATTTATGAAATTACACAAACTGTCTCAGTGTCATTGTTTAATGAGTCCATTTGGAAAACGGGAGGGATTTAAACTGAAGGTGAGATGTGCTACCTTCTGTATGATCCCATGGTGGCTGCTGGATCCATATGGATGACTTCTTGCAATAGCACTGTTGTGTTTGGCAGTGACCCCTGCTGTGGCTCAGTTATTGTATTAATGAATTAAGGGACAATTTGAGGACTTTTGTTACAATATAATTGGATCACTTATACACTTCCCTCTTCTGGTCTTTTTTTTTCTTTCTTTCTTTCTCAAACAGGCATTACAACAGTGCTGACCATGACAACACTGAGTACAATTGCAAGGAAGTCACTCCCAAAGGTTTCCTACGTGACAGCAATGGACCTTTTTGTTTCAGTTTGCTTCATTTTTGTGTTTGCTGCCTTGATGGAGTATGGCACACTGCATTACTTCACCAGCAACAGAAAAGGAGACAAGGGAAAAGAAAAGAAGACAAAGTCTAAGCCATCAGTAAGTTTAAACAAACAAAGAAAAAAAAATCACAGAATGCTGTTTACTGTGGCACTAAGTTTGAGGGACTGTTCTTAAATAAAAGGGCTAATGTTCAAACAAAATTAACGCTTTTTTTTGGTCTTTTTTTTACAGTTGGTAGATTGTACTAATTTTGTGTAAATACTAATAACGAACAAAGGTTTTGGATCATTCTGCTCATAAGCCTAAGCTAGAGAGCGGTTTGCTATAATATTCTGTGCTTCCATGCCCAGGCCCCTATTAATCTTCCCATGAGGTGTGTGCCTATGGAGACAGTTCTGTCTAGCACATTGCTTCTGAAAACAGCACCTGAGAGAGAACCATAGATAAGACAGTAGCAGTAGAGGTAATGTAAATGGACTGGAGATGTGAAGATTTGTTTGGATTCACATCATGTAACTTGGTTCTTACCTTGCTAGCTTTTCAACATAAAAAATGCTTATTACTGGTCAGTATTCTGACACCCTTCCACTTAAGAAATCTACCTTAACTCCATTTTTTTTGTTTGTTTTTTTTCTCCTCTTTCACTTACGTATTTCTTTCTGGTGAAATGAACGTTCTGCTTTTACAGGTTGATGTTTGAATCCCTACATATCTCAGGAATAAGTATTATTACAAGTATAATGTATACAAGTATATATTTTAAGAAGCCTTCTGTTCATGTCATAAGAACACTGAAACTTCCAAGACTCTATTGTTGGAAGCCAGGTCAAATATTTAAAGCTAAACTTTAATAAAATATTGAGGTAAAAGTGTTAAATAGCTTATTCATTCAAACACTAGTCTTAATATCTGAGGCTTGATTGTAGTCATCTTTTGGAGAAAATAAGAAGGACAATATTATAAAGCCTCCTTCCAGATAATTTCATCAAAGGAAGCTGAAGAATAGCTGAATCATAATATCAGTTGTCTTTTCTGACTGAAGGCTGTGTAAGATGAAAGAGAAATTAAAATTAAATTAGAGAAGCCCGGATACAGAAATGGAGAAATCCTGTTGCAGCCCATATTCCTTCTGCAACTAGGGTCAAAAAGCACAGGTGCACCAATTTTGAGCAGCAGTTCTGTGGGAGACTATCTTATGGGGGCACTGCAGGGCTGCTATGGCTTAATACCAGCAAAATCAGAGCCCTTGTGTTTAATATGATGAGCTGGTTTGAGTGGATCACATGTCTTTGCAGCCAGGCTAGTGGTGAAGGTTTAATATTGCCCTGTGCAACCTTGATCAAGCATCACTGTGATCCTCAGGGAATCCAACACAGCTACAACAACAGGAAAGTGGAAACCTCAAACTTCCCTGTTAGTGGTAGAAGCGAATGTGGGCACAATGGAAGACATACTGAGCAATGAAGGTAAAAGATAACAGAGACTGTAGAAATTTGGGGAACTTCAGTGTTAGCACAGCAGATTCAATTTTAGGTTGCTGTTGCAATGAGGTCTCAACAACACTTAGGGAAGAGGAAGCTGAAAAAAGCCTGCTCTTAGCATGCGCAACAAGGAGAAAGGAGGGGAGAAAATACTACTTATTCAAACCAAGGAGCTATTAAAGATCAGCTGCTGGCAGATCAAAAGCCATTGAAGTGGTTTGCAAGTATACTCTACTGAATGGAGTAACAAGACTTTCCAGAATCTCTTCACATATCAGCTGTTTATGCAACAATCTACCAAATGCCTTGAGATTTTCAGTGCATGTCACAATTTAAAATGTAAGAAAATGGGGAGATAGCAATTATGACACCTGTTGACTAAGATTAAAATTAGCAATATAATATTCCAAACACTGTTTGGTTGTGGTCTAGTGTCGTCTTAAAGTGTGCTTGTTGGTTTTAAGTAGTTGAAAACCAGCTATATTTTCACACAGAATTCTTTAAACATGCTTCACCATAAGACCATACTGGGTAAGAGATTACTCTAAAAACCAGAGCAATTAATAGATGCAAGGATTCTTATTTTATAAATGGGTTTTTTTGGTGATATTTTGTAAAAAGCTATAAAATTTTTGTTCTAACTAGAGCAATTAAAGAAGCCATCTGATTAATTCATGGGAAGTCATACAACTACAAATCCTTTTTTTTTTTTTTTCCCCTTTTGTCAAAGACATCTATTCATTCTTTTTCTCTTGTAGTTATGGGTATGTAACTCAAAAATCCAATTTAATTAAAATAGTTTAATTCCTCCTGAGAAGTTCTCATTTACTGGTGTTTTTTCCCTTGGAAAACTTGCCTTGCATTGGTTGTCTGTTTCTATTGCAAAATGCAATAAAGGCTTATTATTCCATGATCTGATAGCAATAAGGTGTAATAAATGATCTATGAAAAAATTGTGAGATTTCACAAATGATTACAGCAGTTTAATCTTACAAAGTATGTGCTGGCATAATTCAAGAAAGGTAGTAGGAACTGGCTTATGTAAATCCACATTAGTAAGGATAATGAGTTTGGGCAGGAAAGATTTAACTTAATTAGTTGTGGATTTTGTTCTGATCATCATTTCACTTGAAGTGAATGCATCACCTGTGCTGTAATTCAACAGATGATGGCTTTCTTTTGTACATCTGTTAGTGTTAATGCAGAATAATTTGGGTTTGGTCCTATCAAATGTATTATAAATGCTTCTTACTCTATGTGGAATTTTATCTACAATATTAGTAGACATGTACATGAACAATCAGCATGTACTACTGTATCCTGTATCTACATCTTTGTTGCTTTTTTTTTTTTTTTTTTCCTAAGTCTCTGCAAATTGATACAGGTCATTTTCTTGTGAGGTTTTGGTGCTTTTTTCCCCTTTCTCCTCACATTGTCCCTTTCTTGCACATTTTCTATATTCCCTGGAAGTGGTTAGGCCTATAAGATGGCACTATCTTTCTGCCTCTCTCAGGCTACCTCTTCAAACCTGTAATGTAGTAGCCAACTTTGGTCTGTGCTGGTGACATGAGCATTTAAAAGCAGTACTGTTATTTTTCCTCCTTTTATGGTGTTTCTGAGTTGGGGATTCCTGTTTTACCCCACTAGTAGAAATGAATCATGCTACAAATCTTCCATTAGCAGAACCAGCAGTCAGAAAATTATTGTAAAACCAGAATAGGCTTTACAATTATAAGCACCTTTTTCCCTACATATCGTCAACAAAAGAATGATTTTGTAAGTTAAAAAAAAATTTGAACTTACTTTTCATATCTTGTAAAAATAAGACCTGTTTGTAATACCTCAAATTAGGATAGAAGCATGTAACTGCTGTTTGTTGTTATTCTCAGTATTTTAGCATAACTGAAAAGAATAATAAGGTTCTTTAGCATGATAATTAGCTCCCTAGGTCATCATGTCTAAAAAGTATTGAAACAGCAGCCTGTGTGAAACTTCCTCTGGTAAAGACACTTATTAAACAAAGCTATTAAAAAATGCTGTGCACTCTGCACTGCTTTAAAACATCACCCCTTGGGACACAGGGTGAAATGTCCCTTCAGCAACAGAATGCCTCCTTAACAATGCATATAGATCTCTGTGCTGGCCAGAGTAATTCCATGGGAGCATGACAACAAGATTTTAAAATATAACAAGAATTGAAACTATGTGGCTTCATGCTTTTCATATTTTTTCATATTTTTTTCACTGCCTGTCATGTATAATTGTTTAAGAGAGATTCTTCTGTGCACTTAAATACCTAGCTAGTTCTCCTGGCTTCATCCTTTCCTGCTGCATTTATTCCTAACATGACAAAATATGGAAATGGTAGAAAAGAGAGAAGACAATGTAAGAGTAGTGTTGATGTAAATTCTGTCTTCCATCTGAGATTTTGGAAGAGATGCCAAAGGTGGGGGGAGTTCAAAGAAAGAGGATTATGGATTAGTTCAAAAAGGCTATAAGATTTAGAAAGGCAAAAGGGACAGCTAGAGAAATAGAATGTATTTTGAAATATTCAAGAACACAAGCATGAAGAGTGAAGAACTGCAAGGAAACAAAATAGAAAAAAGATGGGCTGTGCTTGTGCAAGTAAAAGGATGGTGAAAAGGCAAAAGTTACAAGAAAGGGAATAGCAAACGATATATGTGCTAGGCCATAAGGCACCCATATTTTTTCTATGAAAATTATTTATGAAACTTAACATCTATTACACCAAGTTTTTACCAGATTGCAAGAAGAGTTATTTTTAAGGAAAGTAAAAGTAAGATTTAAGATCTAAATTAATCAGCTTAGTGACTCAAATGGTGTTCTCCTAAGGATTCTTGTGTCTTAGTTTCTAAAGGCAGGGCATATTGCTTAGGGATTTAACATTAGAGTGTGTTATATAATGTGGCCTGGCCTTGTGTGTCTGTTTCTTAAACTTCACCACTGATGTTGTACTAACCTAATTAGCTGCTTTTTGGTGAAAATGTATCTTCCAGAAACACCTTCACTCTTGTTCAAGACTCCAAATGTTGGGGGAATCATCATTCCTTTGGTAGTGATGCTTGTAGCCTGCTTGTAGACTTGCTTATGACCCAGTTGTCAAACTGTGGCTAACTTCACAATGTTTGTTTGTGTTGTGTAGATGGGATCAGCTAACCCTGTCTGTGTAACTAATTATCCGCTATTCCCAGATCCCAGCACAACCCTGTTTTTACTGTGGCAGCTGAAAAATATATCATGATCATTTGCCTGCAAGAGCTATACAGCAGTTCATAATTCACAAAGCTCCCTAAACTGCTTAATATCAGAATTTCTGTATAATGTGCTGAAGGTGTTTATATTGGCCTTTGCTAATGGAAAGCCTATGGAGGCTAAAAATAAGGGGAAATAAAAAAAGAAGCAAACCAACCACCTGCAAAATTATATTTTTCTTTTTTGTTTTTCTTAAGAAAGCACCTGCAATTGCTGTTCGACCTGGATCAACACTAATTCCAATTAATAACATTAATCATCTCCCTGAACGTGATGATGATTATGGATATGAGTGCCTAGAAGGGAAAGACTGTGCTAGCTTCTTTTGTTGTTTTGAAGACTGCCGCACAGGATCTTGGAGAGAAGGAAGAATACACATCCGCATTGCAAAAATTGACTCCTATTCTCGAATATTCTTTCCAACTGCCTTTGCATTGTTCAATCTCGTTTACTGGATTGGCTATCTTTATCTATAAGTTTCAGAGGTTTGACAAACTCAGAAAAAAATTGCAAATTGAACAGTCAGTAACACTTTTCAGTGAGCAGTCAGAGATTAGAGCTGGTCCAAAATGACTCACATTGTTTGGATACTTAAAAAAAATTTGAAACAATGAGAGGACATATGGTGATGTGGTCTCCCTCTTGTGATCAACTATAGAAATGATATTGGTATTTTGAAGAGAAAATATAAATATCCCTGAGATTTAACTTGCCTGAGCATGTACATATTTTGTCCAGCTCTAACAAAATGCAGAGTCAAGAGGCTATGTTATTTAACTGGACAGTTCTACATAAGCTTTCAATTTTCATTCTAAGTGATAATGCAGATGAATTTTGTAGCATCTCTTACACCTTTACAAAGAAAGCCTTAACAAAATGGGATTAATTATTCTCATCCATTTCATCCATAAGGTGATGATTTTATTAATCCTTGATTTAAAATGTTGAAATGGAACATTTCTATTTTTTCAACTAGCCATTTGTTCTCTGCAGTATGTTAAAAAGAGTGATTAAGTCATAATTAATCACAGTCATATTTATACAGAACACAGAGATTAGAGCAGCGAGAAATGGATATATCACTAAAACCCCAAAGGTAATTCTGAGCTTGTCTTATCCTGACTGTTGGTGTAGGCTTTTGGCTTTCAACCTTAGATTACATGTATGTCTGTGCTCCATCTGCCGTTACTTCTCTGTTGTGATTACCCCAAAGTTTTCCAAGAGGGCTACAACTTTCAAAAATTCCTAGCCAGCTGCCATTGTTTGCTCATTTCATGGAAACCAGAATGAAGTTGGCTGAGATTCTGGCCATTGAGTATAATGCTGTTCATGTTCTCCCCATTCCCTTCTTTGTCTGATTCATACTCGGGGCCAGAGAAAAAGTCATAACTCTACATGTGACAGAGTTTGGAAAACCTGTATCACTGCTGTGGTCGCACAACAGTATTCAAAACCACTGTGTTAAATCTCTAGCCCTAGGAGTGTAGTGTGTGACCTGCTTTGCTTTGCATACAGTATGAATTTGTGGATTCTGTTTGTTACTGCATACGCTGCTCCAAAGCCAAAGCCAAACAGTATGAATTTGCTGAGTCTGTGTTATAGATTGCCATGTAATTATCTCCTTGATAATTGTTTTTTTCTAATGGAAAAGCTCTGTTGGGGTTGGGGGCAGTTAAATAATCATTATTCATTGATGACCCTTCTCTAAAACGGGACTTACTCCCGCCTAAAATTCTAGGACCAGTTCTCCAGCATTTCTGTGGTCAGAGCTTCTGTTCACTTTGGTAGCAGTTCTTCAGTAGCAGCCTTTCTGGACTGACTTCTCTGTGTTGACTGTTGCTGGCTGACAGCATTTAGTATCTCATTTCTATTTTTAAATACATTGTCTTTATCGTGGAAAAGTGCTGTCTTTCCTCCATTCTCAAAAATAAACTGCTCTCAAGTGAGCTTGCAAAAAATCACTGTAAAATTAAGATATGCATTAAGTAAAAGTCAGAATTACACAGAAGACCTTACAGATCTTTAAAGAGGATTAATGGGATTAGCATTTGGCTGTAGGTAAGGATGTTCAGTACTGGAAATACAGACATGATTAATGGCTAATAATAGAAAACGATACACTACCCCCCAATATTTCCTTTAGATGTGCTCCATCTGAATTTCTCAGAAAAGATTAATGTATATTCATATAATAGTTGGTACCAAACACAGTAAGATATGATATGCAATACACATGAATACAGATGAAATGTTACTGCAGTGTTCAGTCCCAAAGTGATACAGAATGCAAGACTATATGTGTAGTGATTCTGGAAGAAAGTGTGGCAGAGAAGATCCCATTTTAACACAACCTTTATTTCAGTATTTAGCTGATGAGATATGGCAGTGGTTGAGAATCTGAAATCCTGATGTCGAGGTTTGCTGACATTATTATGTTGTGTGACCTTTCTGAGCACTAACTTCTGACTCTTAGACTGAGCACAGAAGTGTGGCATCATTAACAACACTGAACTACTATAATTTATTGTTTCTTTAGAGTCTCATTTTCAGAAAATATTCAGTACAAAGGAAATGTGTCAATTTTAATTCCATAGTGCAGTTTGGTGCTTTTTGACAACATAGTAAGCACATTTCTCTGGGAGAGATGAAGGTAGCTCCAGCAGCAGTATGTTGGATGTGTAGTTGAAAAGCAGTCTCCTCACCGTACAATGCAAGGCCCAGATTTTGTGAGCTCCCGAGTTTCATTAATTCACCTTTAAACAAAAGGAACTTCAAAGAACTTGGCACCTCACAAGAGGAAATACAAATTTTACAGCCTGCTCTCCTCTGGCAGATCTAGTTAGCTTTTTCTGTTCATGTGGTTGTCAGTTGCCAGTCAGCTTCCAGTGACTGGAGAACTGAAAATATCCAGAATTGGCAAGGGATAGATTAAAAAGTCTTTCATCTCTCATTTCTATGAAACAATATAATGGAGTATTAAACCTGTTGAACATTACGGCTGTTTGGCTTATGGATATACTTGCTTCTGTCTGTTGACAAACTTTTCTGTGTACTTCGTTTCTGATGAAATAATTTCAGTTTCCCATAGTACTGTGAGTGCAAGTAGAAATGGGAATATAGTGAACTGTAACATGGCATGTAATAAATGCATTATTTTAGTATCATGTGTTTTCTTTCTAATTGCATGTGAACACTTCAAGAAATCCAAGTGATCAAAAAAAAAAAAAAGGCAAGAAACAGACTATAATTACTTGGACTAAGATGTTGCAATCCTTTTTCAAACTTACCCGGATAAAAGTTCATTTACTGATAGCTGGGATCACAGTATTTGGAGTCATATTATTCTGACCATTACTGATTAAGCACATGCTTAAACTGATTCCTAATCAGTACTGTAATTAGACCAGAATTCAGAAAAGTATGTGCTTATGTACTGTCATAAAGAGTGATGCAATCCTGAATTGTTGCCATTAACACATGCTTAATTTGCACTAATTTCAATAATGAGTGTTCAGTAGCTCAAATGATTGAACACTAAGGATGTGAGGCAGAGCCTCTTCAGTAAGTTTTCTCACTGAAAGAGAGGGACATAAGACAAGAAATTGCTGTACAGGCAGAGAGGTGGAAAAGTCTGGGGAGTCTGTTTTACAGTGGACCTATATAGGCATCTCCTGAAATATATTTTTCAAAAAAGAGACTTTTCCTTGATATTTCTATATTAGTGTTCATCACTTGTCTGGTTTAGTAGTGACTACAGCTCAGTGTGTTATTTTTGGCAAGGTTTTGTCTGTGATTGTACCTCACTGATCTTCAGTGCATGTCTTCTGTGTCTGAATGAATCTGTTTTATGTAGTGGCAGTGCAAGCAAAGCATGAGCTCTGGGCAATGTATTTTATATTCACACATTGATGTGCTTCAAAGGCTTTAACCACATCTGATTTTCTGACATTCAGAGACACAGGATTGTGCAAGACTTTGAAGGAGAATCACCTGCAATATGTTTTTTATAATTTTCAGTTTCTTATTTGCTATGGTAATAAAAGATTTGTTTAAAATTGGTATATGAACTATGCTTTGTAATTTGTGAACACCTTTGACCTTTCAATTGAAAGCCAACAGGAGGAGTCTGGATTTAAATATCTTCAGGAAGTAAGGTACGCTGTGTTTATATGCATCAGTCATCATTTCAGTTTACTGTTTCCAAATACCTGAGAATTAACACAAATACATCTTTTTTTTCTTTTTTTTAAAATCACTGTCAATATAATTATTCTTGATTCATTGTAGTTTCTCTCAATTATACATTGAATGTGATCTTTAATGTTTGTGAAATAATAATGTATTTTTTAGTCATTGTAACAGATACAGAAAATAGAAACTAATGTAGAGTTTCCCAGCTAAAGAATACAAGGCAAGGAGTGAGAAAGAATTACTGTGCTTCTGCGTAGTGAATATCCACATGCCCTGATGAATGTGCTGGGGCGGGGCTGGAGCTGGGGAGAGGTACAATATTCTCCAGGCTATAGAAAATGCCTCTGCGTTGGTTCGTACCAGAAGCTTGCTACCCAAGTGGTTTAAGTCAATGAAAGGAATAGATCTGTCCATCCTTTTTCAGTTGTCTCTTGCTTCTGCCTTACTCATACCAGCAATGGCAGTTGTAAAGCAATGTTACCAGATGAATCAAAACCTGAAAATTTATCTTTATTTTACTCTTTTGTAAGTTAATATTTCAACCAGATGGGTGGGATCATCTGACTGAATGTGCAAGACTATGACCAAGCTCTGGTCCAACAAATGTGATGGGATCTTACAGCTGGAGGCAGAAGAATGGATTCTTATGATGGCCACTTCTCATTCCATTGAGAATCTGCACTGAAAACTGACATGGAGGGAAGGAAAAGATGGGGAGGAAAGATTGCTCGGGGCAGCGATTCCAGAATGCAGTTACATGGATCTGATTGAGCTATGTTTAGTAAATTGGCTTCTCACTCATATTTGTGAAAATGCACTTTAATTTTTAACTAAATCTTTATTTTTTATATTAGAAAAAGAATAAGTTTATGTGCATTTACTACACATTAATTACAGACTGAATGAGCAATAGAAAGTTATCTTCAGTGATCGTTCTAGTGAAATGTCAGATGATAAATCAGGTTAAATCAGAAAAAAAAATTTTTATTCTTTAATTATGAGAAACAATATTTGTTAAAATTATTTAGTATTAATTAGTACAGTAGACACTGGAAAAGACCTCGTAGCCAGGTGCCTACACTGCTGTTAGTCCCCTTGAGGGCTAAATAATTTGGGAATGAAAATCTAACCCAGACTGCATTCAGTCATTAAGTCCCTCTCTCCTCTCAGGAGTGTGAAAGTTGGATCATACCAGGCATGAACTAATACAGCTGGTGTGCTCCAGGGAAGTTGGTACTAGTTTCTAGTTAAAAGGAAAGGTGACTTTTGCCTGCAAGACTGTAATTTGAAATAGGATACATGCTTCCCTTCAGAAGATGGATGTGTGTTGTGACTTCCAGAACAATGGAAAAGCATCCCTGCACTTAATGTTTATCTTTTCACAGGAGCAGTTTCATTGAGTTGGCTGTCCTGTTATGAGGCACTGAGACATTCCCTGTGTAGTATAGGGGAAGAGTTTTGATTGCAGTCCTGGACAAAGTGTCTAAATCTTGTCAGAGAGCTCAGTATTGTGTGTGGGTTCTGTGTTGTCTTTTGGATCTGTTATGATGCTAGTGAAAAGGCAGTAAATTTTTTTTTTTTTTATTTTAGTTACTAGTAAATCTTATTGGGAAAGCCAGAGTGTTAATGAAGGTTTTAGAGGAAATCTCAGAAGCTCGTGGATGTAGGAGATCAGCTAACACTGTAAAAGACTGAGGGATCTAGCCCTTTTTTCCATAGCTGGGTCTTGTTGCCCCCTAGCAATATCTTGTTTATAAAAAAAAATTAAAAGTCTCATGGTATTTTAAGGAAAAAAATAAACCTGTAAAATTCCTGGGCAATCCCATTCCACTTTCCAGTGACAAATCTTGCTTTGCCTGCAAGTTTTGCTTATGGCAGATCAATGTTAACTTCAGCTGTATGAGGAGAGCCATGGGGGACATAAGACAGAAGGCGTGTAAACAGTTCTACTACGTTCTTCCTCTCATTTCCTTTTCTTATTCAAGAAGAGAATTTCAGAAGAGTAGGAGTATGGCCTGTGTAAATTAGGACAATTTTGTTACAGACACCAGGGCCTGAATCCAGCTAGATGACAGGATCAAGAGAGACATGAGTTTGCTTGCAATAATAAGGCTTCTCTTTTGTAATTCTTTTCCATACATCTCTGCATGCCTACCTTAGACTTAAACATTTATCAGGGTGGAAGCAATGTTTTTGTGTGTATCTGGCTTCA